CCTCCTCCATTAAGTAGGTATTGCCCCCCCCCCCCAGTCTGTTGGAAAACTGAGACAGTATGGATGTAAAGTCAGCAAGAGGAAACAGTGGGAGTTGCAAGGGACCCAGGAGAACGGCGCGCCCAGAAATGTTGGTTTTCCATGGGGAATGGGGTGGTGTTTAGCAGCACGGGTGGCAGAAAAGATCAGTATTCAAACTCTTCTTATACAGGTATAGCTTTTTTGTGGAAATTAAGTTTTGGAGCAGGGTCATTTTGACATGTTTTATTAACTGACAAGTGCATTTTATCACATAGTTTTCAACTATCCCTTTTATAAAGAGACAGTCCCTTTTTTTAAATCAAATCCTTGTGTCCTATTCTTTATTCATCAATTGTCCTTCTCTTTGGTGTGATGTATAGATATCTATGAATAAATAAATGACTTAACTACCAAATGTTGCATTAGACCCTTCATTCGGATATGAAATCATTGCATTTGTTTAAGGCCATAAGGATTGCAAAGGAGAGCACAGTGAACCTTTTAACCTACTCAATAAGACTTGTATGGGTCTGTCTCCGGAGCATATCCTTTGCCAAGATATGGCCCATTAGAAGTCTATAGGGCAGGGGTAGACAACCTTGTCACTGCAGCTGTTGTGGAACTACAAGTGCCAAAGTGTCATTGCAAGACTCTGATAGCACAAGGCATGACTCCCGGTGACAGAGGCATGAAGGGATTTGTATTTTAACCACAGCTGGAGTGCCGAGGTTGCCTACCACAGCTATAGGGGGATGGTCGAACACGTGACCAGAAGAAAAGAAGATTTTGATTGGGGCCTCTAAAGGTTCCTACAGGCTGTCACCATCCAATCCAGATAAGAATGCTTCGGGATGAGAAAGATGGGGTTTTTCTGAATGTACAGTAGTAAAGAAGCGTTGGGATGTTTAGTCCAAAATGTCCACTTCCTGTTTTTGATAGGTGTCCTGCCCAGGTTTTTGATAGGTGTCCTGCCCTGGTGTGGCTTTTGACCAGCCCACAGAGCTTATTTACATTTTTGGACTGATGGTCCACCCATACACCGTCCACTTCCAAGTTTTGACCAGCCCACAGAACCATTTTTGTTTTTAACTGGTGAACAGCCCTCTACTGATTTATGACCAGTGACCATACCCACTTTTGTGGTAACCACCACCCATGTTCAGATTCTGGCAAACACACCCATCCCTGTCCATGTGTAGCAAGCCGGTGGGATATGCCCAGAAGTATGGAGCAAAGAGCCAGGACTATGGCATACAAATATAATTTGGATGGTGGGAGGTGATCGCACTCACTTTTGTCCCAACCCCTTTCCAAATGTAGTGAAGCACTGGGACATGCCCGGACATATGTAGCGTAGGTGATTTGGACCCTGGCCTGGCAACATTATTTCTAGAGTTAAATATAGGCATGTTGTAGCTGATGTATAGAGAAAATACTTGACACCTACAGCACTGGGCTCTTATGGCGCAATAGAACATTTGTACACTTGTACAGAGGTGTTCGGCAATACAAGATAAAAAGAGTTGGCATGATGGAGTGGCTACACAAACAGGATGGCTATACACTGCATAGATGTGAGGAGAGATCTTCCAATCTGTTCTTGGGACAACTAAGAGGAGAATTCTCCTCACTTTGGGAGATTTACTCTGCCTTCCTGTTGTGTCGGTGGGACAGGAAGTGAAGGGGAATTTCCCAGAAGGTACACAGACAGCATAAATAAATAAATAGGGATTTTAACCCTTCCCTACTCTATCCAAAACATAACGCTAATAAGTTTTGGCTTTCGATACATTTTA